GGGACCCGGGGGGCGCCCGAGGGGTCCCATGGGGGTCCGGTCTAGGGGGTCTCTGAGGAGGGGCCTGGGGTGGTGCAGAAGGGGGGCTGGGGGCCCTGCTGTGGGCGTTCTGTGCCCCCCGCCCCGGGTGGGGAGCCCCCCTCGGCTCAGCCCCTGCTCCCACCGCAGGACGCGGCTGCCGGTCCGCGGCCACCCCAGCGGGAGCTGCCGGGGCTGCGGCGGGGCAGGGGGACCCTCGGGACCACCCAGAACCCGAGCAGAGGGACCCTCGGAACCACCCAGAACCGAGCACAGGGACCCTCGGAACCACCCAGAACCTGAGCAGAGGGACCCTCGGAACCACCCAGAACCGAGCACAGGGACCCTCGGAACCACCCAGGACCGAGCACAGGGACCCTCGGAACCACCCAGGACCCGAGCAGAGTGACCCTAGGGATCAGCCAGGACCGAGCAGGAGCTGAGGGACCCCCGGGACCACCCAGGACTGAGCAGAGGGACCCCAGGGACCGAGCAGGAGCTGAGGGACCCCTGGGAGCAGCCAGGACCGAGCAGGAGCAGAGGGATCCTCGGACCACCCAGAACCCGAGCACAGGGACCCTCGGGACCACCCAGAACCCGACAGAGGGACCCCCGGGACCACCCAGGACTGAGCAGAGGGACCCCAGGGACCGAGCAGGAGCAGAGGGACCCCCGGGACCACCCAGGACTGAGCAGAGGGACCCCCAGGACCACCCAGGACTGAGCAGAGGGACCCCAGGACCGAGCAGGAGCAGAGGGACCCCGGTCCTGTGCTGCAGGCAGGTACGTGGGGTGCAGCGGTGCCCACCTGGCGCCCGCGGGTGTTCCTCCGGTCCCGGCGCGGCCGGGGCACGGCCCGGGGCGCCGCTGAGCCGCTGTCCCCGCAGCATGGCGCAGTGGCAGGAGGTGCAGAGCTTGGCCAACACCTACCTGGAGCAGGTGCACCAGCTGTACGCGGGCTCGGCGCTGCCCATGGCCGTGCGGCAGTCCTTGGCCGCCTGGATCGAGAGCCAGAACTGGTACCGGGGGGGGGGATCCGGGGCTGGGGGCGGCTCCGGGGGGCACGGGCGGGGCCGTGCCCGTGCTGAGCCCGTGCTGAGCCCGTGCTGAGCCCGCGCTGCCGCAGGCGCCAGGCGGCCGAGCCGCTCTGCTCGCACGCCCGCATGCTGTTCCACTCCTTACTGGTGCTACTGGGAGAGCGCCTGGGCAGCCTGGGCTCGGACCGCGAGGATTTCATGCTGAAGCACAACCTGCGCAAAGCCCACCGCGACCTCCAGGTGGGCTCCAGGGCCGGGGGGGGCGCGGTGGGGAGGGGTCTCCGCGCCGCGCTGACCCCCCCAAGCCCCTCCGCAGGCCGAGTTCGAGGAGAAGCCGGAGACGTTCGCCAACCTGGTGGCCAACCTGCTGCAGGAGGAGCGGCGGATCCTGCGCCTGGGGCAGGCGGGGGGGCAGGTAGGGCAGGGCAGGGTCCCCCGCCTCACCCCACAGGCGCCGGGGGTCCCGCGGCCGCTGCCCCACACCCCGTGTCTCCCTGCCTAGGGGGGTTCGGCCCCCGCGCCCACCCCAGCCCCGGAGAACGGCCGGGAGCAGCAGATCCAGCAGCGCTTGGGCGACTTCCACAGGGCCCTGCAGGTAACCCCCCGCCACCCCCCGCGACCCCCGCCGAGCCCCCCGGGGGCTGCCCGGCCCCTCCTGACCCCCCTGTGTCCGCAGGAAGCCGAACGAGCCTTCAGGCACCTGGAGGATTTGCAGGATGCCTTTGACTTCTGCTTCAAGGTGCACTACCAGCCAGGTGAGCCCCACGCTGGGGAGATTGGGGGGTGGGCACTGCCCTGCGCCCCCTCCGAGCCCCCCAAAACCCTGAGCCCTCTCCCCTGCCCGCAGATGGGGAGAGGAACGGGGACCCCGAGTACATGCAGGAGCTGAAATCCCTCGAGGACAAACTGAAGAACCTGGACCAGCAGCGCAAGGTGAGGGGGGCTCGGGGCGGCCAGGCTGGGTTTTGGGGGGGCACCGTGCACCCCGCTGAGAGCCACGTCTCCCCCCAGGAGGTGCTGGCTCAGATGCAGCAGCTCCTGAGGCGCAGCGAGACGCTGCAGGAGCTGCTGCAGCAGGAGCTGGGGGACTGGCGGGCGCGGCAGCAGCGCCAGTGCATGGGGGGCCCCGGCGACACCAACCTGCGCCCGCTGGAGACCTGGTAGGGTTGGGGGGCTCGGGGGGCTCGGGGTGGGGGGCTGCAGCCGGACCCCTCCGAGCTCCCTGACCCCCGCAGGTTCACGGAGCTGGGCCAGGGGCTGTTCCAGCTGCGGCAGCTGCTGCGGGCGCTGGGCGACCTGCGGCAGAAGGTGACCTACGCCAGGGACCCGCTGGTGACAGAGACGCCCCTGCTGCAGCAGCGGCTGCAGGAGCAGCTCACGCACCTGCTCAGGAGGTGAGCTGGGCTCTGAGCGGCTGCGGCGCTGCCAGGAGGGTTCTGGGGGTGGAGATCAGGGAAAAATCCTCCCCACCAGGGTGGTTGAGTGCTGGGGAAGCTCTCCAGGGAGTGGTGACGGTCCCGAGGTTGTCAGAGCTCCGGGAGAGTTTGGACAACGCTCCCAGGCACAGGGTGGGATTTTTGGGGTGTCTGTGTAGGGCCTGGAGCTGGGGTCAAGGGTTCTGGTGGGTCCCTCGCAGCTCTGGGTGTAATTCAGGAGGTCGGGGGGGTCGGGGCAGTGCTCTCAGGGATTTTGGGGGAAAGTTTGTGGTGTCCTGTGCCGGGCTGGACTTTGATCCTGATGGATCCCTTCCAGCTCTGGATGATTCGAGAGGTCAGGGAGAGGTTGGACAATGCTCTCAGGTGTTGGGATTTAGGGTTTTTGGGGGTGTCCTGGGACTCAGGGATTGCTGTGGGCCCCTTCCCACCTCAAGGAGCATTTGGAGAAGGCTCTCAGGGACAGGGTGGGATTTTGGGGTGTCTTGAGCATGGAGTTGGGCTTTGATCCCTGTAGGTCTCTTCCAGCTCAGGATATTCCATAGCTCAGGGGTGTTTGGACATCACTCAAACATTGGGATTTAGGATAGGGAAGGTTTTGGGGTTGTCCTGCACCAAACCAGGAGTTGGACTCGATGTTCCTG